CGCAAAATATTGCTTTTTTATTGTGTTATTTTATTGCAATTAAAGTTGAGATAATTTTTTAGTTAATTGGATTTAAAATAAAAAACAAAAGTCAACGTTTAGTTAACGTTGTTTGAACGTTGTTCTAAAGTCTTATCGACTACGTATCAACCGAATATATTACCTTTTCAAAGTTGTAATATTGTTGATAAGACTTTAAAACAAATTTGAAACAACGTAATCATCGACGTTGTTTTAACGTCGTAGTTTTGAACGTCGGACTTTGTTTTCAATTCCACCAAATTTCAACGTTGTTTCAACGTGGCATATGGTCGGTTTGCGAAGTTGTTTCAACTTTATTTCAACGTCATTGTGCCTGCTAGGAGGTGATGCAGCTTTATTAGCATTCTGCATTTCATATCTGTGTACCGTACAATTGAGTTTTCCACTAGCTTTTTACAACTTTTACTGTTATTGTTGCCTAAAAAACTATGAATAACATGTTTTAACCCAATTCATGCTTCTTTTTCAACAGCACACATTTAATCCTCCAGCTTTTTACATGCCATTTACATAGCCTTATTCTGCGGACCAACAAATGTACCTACTGAATTTTTTATATCTGACATTTTTGGAAACATCTGCCAATTATGCTGGAACTGCACTAGCAGAGTGTAATGCTTTAATAAATTGTTTGAAAATACCTAGTTTAATGTGAAGGGGTGGTAGTAAGGTCCTCTCAACAAAAACCAGAGATTGAATTATAACATTGTGCAAACTAGGCTGTAAATATTCTCTCACTGGCCACTTAAGACTCTTAAAGTGCTAGTCCACAGCCCTACTATCTCATAAATATAGAAAACATGAGTACTTTGTATATCCTTCTTGTAGACCGAGAAGAAACGATAGCATTTTAAAGTCTTCGCATAAATCCCACTTGTAACTGTCGTAATTGATTTTAGCAAGCAACAACTTCACGTTCTTGTAATCTTCCTTTAGACTAACGAAATGAGCTACTAGAATCAAAGGAAATCGGTTTCCGTTATGAAGCAAAACTGCCTTTATATTTCTTGTTGAACTGTCAATGAATAACCTCCACTCATAAGGATTGTGAACAATGACTATGTCATTAAAAAAGGCCTCGAACGTTATGAAAGTACCACAGTGATTCTATTACTACATAAAAGGATGCAAATGTTTCATGTTTATTTTTGGTAATTCTAGGTTTTGCAACTTGGATCTATTAAATTTCATTCTTTCAAACGTGATGTCAGAAGTTTTGCATTTGATTTACTGAGACCTAAATCTCGTATTAAGTCATTAAGTTCTAGTTAGTTAGGGAAACGATGTAAATAATTTGGTTCCCTGAAATCACAATCATCATGGAGTATATGATGTGTGTCTATATCAGAATAATATAAAGCTGCTTTTTCAAAGTGAGTTGGGTTAGAAACAGGCAATTCATCACTATGCATAACTGGTCCAACAGAAGAGGGTATAGTTAGATAAACTAGAGTCAGCCTATTTTTCGGTTTTTTATACATTAAAATGTAAACGATGCAAAAATAACAGTTATCATGATGGTTCGTCGGTTCTATATATATATATATATATATATATATATATATATATATATATATATATATATATATATATATATATATATATATATATATATATATATATATTATATATATATACATATATATATATATATATATATATATATATATACACATATATATATATATATATATATATATATATATATATATATATATATATATATATATATATATATATATATATATATATATATATATATATATATATATATATATATATATATATATATAAATATATATATATATGAGTAGTTAATAACTAATTTGTCTGTTTATAGATAATAATTACATTACTGATGCATCATTTTCAAAAATTTTTGTGCGAAATAATGATTTTATTTGACTAAGTTTGTACGCTAATACTTATGTTATTCAAAAATATTGGAAAGTTAAGTTTATAAACCATAAGCAGATTGAATTATACATTAGAAGAAGTAGTCTCTTGAATTCAGAATGGTTTAATCACAATATAAAGTGGTATTAGAGGAATTAAAAAAATACATATATATTTCATACATTATTTATACATAACAAAGTCGTGTATTTAAGTATATATACTTTTTAGTTTTTTTCAAGTCACTTGGATTTTTTGTTGGATAATGATTTTCAAACTTGTTTATAATTACAAAAGTACTCATTCTTATTTTATTAGAGATAATTTGAAAAATAACCGAGATTATTGATTGATGCTTCATACAACCATGTTTGTGCAAACAATGAAACGTCAAGTAATGTTTCGAAATGGGAATGATATTGTCTTAACATTGTTTGGGAATTAAATATATCATGTATTTGTATTTGTAGAGTTTTGGACTTAATTTCATTTAATCAGCGTAATTTACACAAAATTAACTTAAGGTTGCTAGAAAACGTTTGTTAAACCTTTCCATTTTTAATTTTAAAATTACTTAAAGTCAACGTTGAAATTCCAGCTGGGTAAGTTTTAATTGTTGCCATTTGGAAATAATGAACAATAAAAGTAAAAGACAAATATTATTACAAAGTTTGTTTATAGAGATATTATGTTTAAAAAGACTAAAAAACTTTATAAAACAAATATGAAATAGAAATTGTCTTAAGTAAGGATTTTTTTTTATTTAAACGGTTACTACATTTAAAAAAAAATTAAGCTTAACAAGCAGTTTTAGAAGTACAAAAGGCAAGTAAATTTTAGATAAATTAAAATAGCTTTTTATATTGAAATTTAAATGAACAATGTGAAAAATAAAACGAAAACATAATGCAAGTTTTAACAATGGCATCCTTTAATCTCTAAAAGAACATAGGCTTAACACTTTTTCTTATGATAGTCATGGAGAGTTTTTCTGTCTGTCAAATATAAACATAATTTTCACTTGGTACAGTATACGCAACTCTAACCAATTAAATAATGTCTGGAGCAATTTTCATTTTTGTGATAAAATCAAATCAAGTTGAATCAAATTTGTTCTGAATAAAAGGTCTTACATCAAGGATGTTTACAAATAGTAATGATACTAATCTGAAGTAAACACCTATAAAAGTTAATTTAAATAAATACTGATAACAATAAGAATAAAAATTAAAAAAAAAAGTGATAAATATAAGAAAAAGAATAACAGTTATTGCAAAAGTTACATAACGAAATTAACCACAAAAATATAACTCATGATAACAACAACAAAAATAATAATAAAATTAACAATAACGTCAATAATAATTATTATTATTAATAATAACGATAACTCTAGCCAGTAGTTCAACAAGTCATAATAATCACTGATAGGAAATGGCACTGAAGATTCGCAACTGTGCTTACTTGGAGGTTCATATTCATAACTTTTTTATGGTCCTCCAACTGGTCGCGTACTTGAGAATTTTCTCATCGTTGTCAAAGCGTAAGCAATATCGCTTGTAAACTTAAGAAGTTTGTTTTCCTTCTTTTAAGGAAGGGTTGTCTGGTCAGCAAATCGACGATAAAGTACCAATCATTTACTTTACAAATCTCAATACTGTGAAAAATATTTTTCAGATACCATCACATTGCTTTTACACCTGTGCGATAAATAGATATAGGCATAACTGCTAAGTCTACACCACCCAATTGCTTCGTTGCAATCAATCACTATTTCAGGACAAAATATACTACTATAAGCTTTCCATCTTTTTAACTTTTTTTTTATCCCAAGGCTTGACTTATATTAAAGATAGAGAAGATGAACATGTATGAAAAATGGTACGAATCTAATGCCGCAAAGCATATAATTAAATAAAGGCATTTCTTTTGCTAAATTCTAGCTAGCCTCATTCGTTTCTACTTATTTATACACTGATTGACCAGTTGCACCATAAACTCTTATTTTTGATCTAAGTGTAAGTTTTTCAATAATTTATGCAATTTTGAATCAGCAGTCAACACTTCTATTTGAGAATCACAAAGCCGTTGTTCTGTTTGCTGAAGTAGAGATTTCAATGGGTAAGTGTAACAGAGCAATCAGAAGCTTTAATATCATTTGGGTAACATCTGTCATTTGCATTCTTCAAATCATGGTATATTGAGTAAATAGCTGAATCTAGATCTAAAGCATTGTTGCGGAGATGTTTGCCTTTGACAGATTAGCATTGAAGAAAAGTATTAATTCCTTGTCAGAAAAAAGTCTAAGTGGCTGTTTAAAAAAAAAAAAATTAGCATACTTAGCCTCTGTATTTCTTCGATCTTTTTTATTAACTTTGAAGCTGCATATAATATTTCGTTAGTAAATAACATTTACATATTGTCCTGTAATCGTGTCCAAGTTTTGTCAAAAGGCATTTCTGGTCCTCAACCAAGATTTTCAGGAACAATAGTTTCCAGTAGTTTTAGCTTTAATTAGCTTGAAATAAATAATGCAGTCTAGCCAAGTAACAAATTTGATTTTAAATTGTGTATTCTTGCTTGTTACAGCTGATATCTTACATTTGAACTGAAAAACAAAAGCTGATAACGTTGATTTTAAATCTTAAAACATGTTTAGTGAAACATTTTCCACATAAGGTAAAGTTTACAGTTAAACTTTATATAACAAATGAAATTATGTTTAAACAAAGACGAATAATATATATTTTGTTAATTTTTAACAAAAATTTAATATTTTTTCAAAACAGAAGGCCTTGCATATAAAATCTTCATTTGTATAAGATTCACAAATATATAAAAAAACTCTTTACTTTAAACTTCATATAAAAAGTTTTATAAGGAAGTAATTAAGAGTTACTTAAAAAAACTATAAATGATTGAAACTATATAGTATAACTTGATTCTTTTCCTCTCTGTGTGTTTATGCAGGTGTCATCTTTGTGTTTATGCAGGTGTGCTTCATTATTTAAAAATATATTCTCATTTGAGAGTTTTGACATAACATATAATTAAAAGGAAAG